GAATCACATATTAAAATACAAAACTCTTTGGAAGAAGAAAGAAAGCAATAATGTCCTCTTGGGTCTTGGAAGGACTGAGGTTCTGTGAGACAGAGGGCATTGCAATACCCATAGAAGAGGCCTAAGACAATACTGTAGTGAGCTTAAGGACAGGCGAGGACAATGGTGGTTTATAAGCAGATGGCTCAGGATTGGATCTGGATCCATTAGGATAAATTTGGAGACTGAAGATGCCTAAGTCAAGGGAAAGAAAGTCACTCAAAGATTGTGTGGAGGGGCTGGGATTGGGGCTCAGCAGTAGAGCGCTTGCCTAGCACGTGCGAGGTCCTGGGTTCAATCCTCAGCACCACATAAAAATAAATAAATAAAATAAAGATAATGTGTCCAACTACAACTAAAAGAAGAAGAAGAAGAAGATTGTGTGGAGTTCTTAGCTTCTCAAGGTGTTGGGCTGCGTGACCACTGAGGTTTTGACCAATGATGATTGTTCCAAGTTCACTCAGTGTTTCACTCAAGCATTCAGTAGGTATCCCTTGAACACCTACTGTGTACTCAAATCTGTGCTGCTTGCTAGGTTAGGTCAAGGCATTGTCCCTCTCCTCATGAAACTCTTAACATAGAAGACAGATGTCAAAGAGCTACACAAGGGGGTGGGGATATAGCTCAATTGGTAGAGGGCTTGCCTCACATGCACAAGGCTCTGGGTTCAACCCCCAGCACCATACACACAGACACACAAAAAAGCCCAAGAATCTTCCTGGGTTACCTGGCATCATCACCACATCTTTACATTTTACAAAATGCAGCAAGAGACATGACTTTTCAGGCAGTATTTTGCTTACTGTCCTACAGAAACCCCTGAGGCAGAACCATCTGCACGCTTGGAAGGCTTGTGAACACTCAGGGAAAAAAAAATTCACACAAATCAATATTTTTTTAAAACAATCCTGCAGTAAAAGTGGGGCTCAAGAATCAGGGCAAAACGGCATTTGTCTAAGTCCTGATTTTACTTGGGCAAGTTGCCACTTTTTTAAGTCTCATTTTTCTCATCCATAAATTAAGGAACATTATAGTAGAGACTCCTTTGTGGAATCATTATGAGAATTAAATAGGGATTGCATGCCAATAATTAGCACAATGTCCGGCACATGCCAAGAGCTCTATAAATATCAGCTACAGTTTTACTAATACATGGTTTTAGCTATGGTTATAAAGACTAATTATTGGGCTGGGGTTTAGGCTCAGTGGTAGAGTACTTGCCTACCTAGTATGAACAAGGCCCTGGCTTCAATCCCCAAAATCACAAACAAACAAAATCAAACAAACAAAAAAAGAACTATGCACTGCTAATTATTCTCCCCAGCTCAGTGATTATAAATGAAGGATTTGTGTAGCATCCCTGGATGCTGCTGGGCCTTCCCCTCCTTGCATAGACTGTGACCAGGGCTCAGCCAGGCTGGCAGTGAGTCTCATGTTCCCCCAGAACAGGTGCAAGTCTGGTCACGATTTCTCTCCATCAACCTTCTTGTCAGATCTGTAGAAAATGATCAATTCCCCTTGGAGGTTCCTACTTACTGTGTGGCAGCTTCTGAATTATACCTCTCTTGTTCAGACAGATTTTCCCCCAACCTTCCACTGCCTCCTGCCCTGCATCTGTGCTTCCTCTCCAAAATACAAGTAAATGTCATTTACATTGATTTTTAAAACTTTCCCTCTGGGGATCCCAATTCCACCCCGTGTAAGTCTGGGAGGCAAGCCTCTGATTATATTTTTCCTAAGTTTAAGTCAATTTTTATTTGTTATGGAAACATTAAGTCTTCCTCAAAAATAGCCTCAAGTCTTTGGGATAAACTCTAATGTGGGCTGTGTACACACGCCGATGACAGGCCAGGAGAAGCCGCTGGGAGATGGCAAGGCTTCTGCTGCAGATGAGCCAGGGAGATGGGGTGGGACAACAAGGGAAGAAGGGAGGAGGAAATGTCTTCTCTGATAAGCGGACACTGATCTATAATGGGAGGGGACATGGGATGCATATTATATTTATTTATTTATTTTCCCCAGTGCTGAGGATTGGACGAGGGGGCTTGTACATCTGGAGCAAGCACTTTATTTATCAAAGATCTAGTCCCCATCTCTTTTATACTTTCAAGAAACGATACTATTGACCTTGTGGGCTTTGCTGAGAGTGTTTGAGGACTAGCTTTATATTTGATACCTATTAAGCATTTAGTAGGGGTGACTTTAAACGTGACTGAACCAACCATAAAAACAATCCTGGGGGAAGGGTATTATTTTCTCTTTAATAAATATGGAAAGGGAGGCTCTGAAGGTCAAATTGGTTGTCATGTGATCTGTAAGTACAGACTTGGGCTTCAAATTGGGTCTAGCTTAGGCTGACTTTTGAGTCCTGTCCCTTTCATTAGACGGAACCAGAGGACAGTCTCTCCAACATTCTGCCACCTCATCCTGTTTCCAAACATCAATGTTCTTGGCTCAAGCTCCTCATGGTTTCCTTCCTTCCCTAGTTGCATTCACTCAAAACACTGGTCCTTCCTCACCTAGAACTTTCCTTGCTCTCTCACTCCATGCTTGGACAATGGTTGCAGAAGGGCCAGTACTTCCCAGGTATTCTTAAAACATTTCTTGACTAACAACTTCCCAATGACATTGGAACCCCTTGACAACCAACACAATGTCTGACTTTAAAATCAATAAGCCAGTGGCTTTTTGATTATAGTTTTTGCCTTTACTGAAGTTATACCTGCATAAAACTTAAGAGATTCAAATAGTTCTGCAAGAGAGAGCTCCAGTGTGTGCATGTCTTTCTGTGTTTTGATCTTTGCATTGTAACCATTAACTCTTGAATTTCTACAATGAAAGCTGAGTTTATACTTCATCCCGTGCCTTGGCACCCCACCCCCCAATGATATATAAGCTTCTCTTCCATTCCACAGCCTCCTGATGTTGTAAGGTGCTAATGTAGTGTACTCAACATTCCGTATTTACAATATGAAAATGTAAATTGTACTTTGAATGGAGTTCTGCAGTACTCTGTGATTACTTTTTCTTTGCTGGAATGAGTAGCTGTCTGATTTTTTTTTTCTTTTTGGTGTAGTTTTCTTTGTGTTAAGCAATCATTAAAGTTCAAACTCTGCCAAAGTTTTAAATCCCTTCCACACGTGCTAGATGACTGAGTCTTCTGTCACAATTATCTGAGGGCAGAAGCCTATCCTGGGCTCTCCCTGCAGCAGCGCGGGCAGCTGCCCTCTGCATCAGGTGGATTCTGGGATCCCCCTCTGCATCAGAGGGATTGCCTGCACTGCCCTTCTCTGCCAGACACGCTGTTTCCCACAGTCTTCTTCCTCTTTCTTGATTTACTCCCTCATTGGTGAGAAGCTCCTTTCTAACCACTTCATGAGAAAGGGGGCATAAATCTTGGTATCCCCAGCACTTGGCATCATAGGTGCCCAATAAATGTTTGCTATAGTACTGAAAGAATAAACAAAGAAAGAAAAGCAAGAAAAACATCAGCAGAGATAAGCTTATCACTAGTGTAAGAGATGAAAGGGAAACAGCTTAATGAATCAAGATAATCTGATGTTTACCTGAGCTAAGCTTTGAATTTATGATTTATGTAAGTAATAATGAAAGTTCAGGAGAACACCTGGATTTAGAGAACTCTTATCTTTTCATAAGGCAATCAGGTGCAAGAAGGCAGCTAGGCTGTGAGAGAGCTATGGAAAATTTCTGTATCTTGGTTTCTTTGTCTATTAAAAAAAAACGAAGAAGAAACGACAATACCTACTTAGGAGAACTGTTGTGTTGAGTGAGAACTAGTAGTTGCTGAGTTCTTTGTCATGCCATCTTGCTAAAAATGGCATATAACTTCAATCATTCCAGCATCTCAAACAAAACAAAACAAAAAGTATAGATTCACATTCGATGTGATAATGGCAAGAGAGGTGACATGCCTAATTCTAATCCTAAATCCCATGGTGACTTGCTGTGTGTCCTTGGGAGAGGCTCTTCCCTTTCTGAGCCTCAGTGCTTTCTTCAGTGGTGCTAGGTGGCTGGTGACTAAAGTCCCCCACCCCAGTTCCGTGGTACTATGATCTTGTTCTGGGAGATTCCCTCCCGCAGCCCAGCCACCTCCACCCAGCTGCTGTGAGCAGATTTGCCTTGGAGGTTGAAGCTGTCTTGCTCCTGGCACCAGACTCTTTAAGGCCAGGACCCCCTGGTTGGTGTCCTCTGAGGTGGACCGGGAAGAAGCAGCCCAAGTTCCATTCTTCTGCAGTGTAATGCAAAACAGATCCGGCCTTGGCTCCCCACACCAGGAAGGGGACTTCATCATCGTGAAAGCCACCTTGTCAGCGTTAGGCCTGGGTGATTAATGACTCTTTAATCCCATAGCCGAATACCTGACAAAATCCGCTTGGACCAAAAAGGCAGAACAAACCTAATTAGCCCAGTCGACCCACTCACAAGGTGTGGGTTGCTAAGGCTCCCCACAGCTCCAAGAGCAAGCCTCTCCCTGCTTGTCCCTTTCAGGTCTGTGAAAGAATCAAGTGGCCACAATGGGCACGGACTCCATTAAAAGGAGAGGGTTGGCCAATGAATAAACATGCAGGTTACCGTGTTGATATTTCACTGAATGCCATTCTGAAGTGGGGTGTTGGGGGCCTTGGAGGCCTGCGCCCCTGGTATTGTGCTGGGGGAGGGACTGGCCATTTGAAGTCAAGGTGAGGACATACTGGGGGCAGATGGAACCTGCTTTGTTTGTGAAAGAGTTTTTCTGCTATTTATGCTAATGAGTGGGAAACACTTCCCAAGCATTTCAGATGGTTCTGTAATGAGGCCCCGGCAGAATGTGCCAACATTGTTGGCCCTGGACAATTTTAAACTCCCACTCTGCACATTAGCAGCCCCTTTCTTTACAGGAAGGCCCTCGGAGGGTGAAAGAGGACAATGAAGGAAGAGTGAAAACATCACAAAGAGGGGCTTTTGTTTCGCCTTCCTTTGAACCCTCTGAAAAGCCCGCTCTCAAGGGGTGTGTTGGGCCTGCCTTTCAAGGTTACTGAACCCAGAATCCCCTGTTGTTTAGCAACATAGAAAGCTGACCTTAATTGACTCCACTTCTGAGCAGGCTTTGTAAATCACTCTGCCCCAGACTGAAATTTCCTGATGGCGTCTGCATGAGCTATGGAGTGTCCCTACATAGGCTTCCAACATGCCAGGGCAACGTGTCGGCCTTCGTGTGGACGGTGATGTATAGCTCACCCTCCCTTCTCCCTGGAATTCTCGTGAGGACCTGCCTCGGGATTAGGAGACGTTCTTCCCATTTTGCAGGTAAGAGAAGGGAGGCTCAGAGCAGTTAAGCAATCTATTCAGTCATACACCAAGAACTGGAGCTGTGATCCAAGGATTTTAGATTGTATAATGCATCAGAAGAGATACCTTCACTGATGAGTTTCTTTAAAACATTATTTTGAGCTGGGCGTGGTGGTGCACACCTGTAATCCCAATGACTCAGGAGGCTGAGGCAGGAGAATTGCAAGTTTGAGGCCAACCTGGGCAATTGAGTGAGATTCTGTCTTGAAATCAAATAAAAAGGGCTGTGGATGTAGCTTAGTGGGAGAGCTCCCTCACCCACCTGTATTTAATCCTTAGTACCAATTGATAATAATAATGATAAATAAAGTAACAAATAAACCCATATTATTTGCAGAGAAAGAAGAATATCCCTAGGTGAATTCATGATAGTATTTCCTCCATGAGACTTCTTCCACTCTACTCTAGCTGTAGGCAGCTCATTTGTACCTGCCCCACCCCTTCCTGATCCCCAAGTTGCCCAGTCCCACCAGGTAGATCTTGGGTGGGGCAGACCCGGGAGCTCCATCTTCTGTTTGGGATGACACTTTCCTGAGACCCATCTGGCCCAGGGGTGTGGCAAGGCAGGTCCACCTTGGATTTCACTTAGAAGTTCAACTTCAGTTCAGCCCTCAGAGACATGTCCACACCCTCAAAGCCTTTGAACTAGTCTTAGTCAAAGCTGACCTTGGCATGCGACCGGCTGCATAGGATTCCGTGTTCAGGAGGACGCTGTGCTTGGTTTGATACTCTGCTGTTGCCATCTTCACATTTTGGTGATTTCATGTCGAAGCTGAAGCCTCTGCTTGGAAAGTAAGATCAGATGAGACAGTAGAACAAGTGGTATATGCAATGGCAGTTCCTTGTTACCCTTGTCCACACAGCAATCTCCATGTCCCAGGGGTGCAGAAATCCAGGGGGTCCAGGAGTTCTGTGAGACCCAAGGAAGGTGTGTCATGGCCACAGTTGAGTAAGTGAAGTGGGTCGGGGTAGAGGTGCTGATGGTACTCAGAGACTAGGTTTTCCATTCAAACCTCACGGAACGATTGGATCAAAGACAGTGACATTCTAAGAAACATGAACAACCAAAGGACCCTACCATATCTTTTCTTACTTATCTTCCTTCTCTGTATCAGCCAGATGTCTATGCTGAAAATAACGATAGAGGAGATAGTTCTCCTACCATACATACCTCCTTGTCCTTCAGGTTAACCTCATCAGCAGAGAGGGCTGGAGCCTGTGTGTGCATTTCCGAGAGCAAGAACCTCAGCAGAACCTCAGCAGGCTTAGTTTTCTGACTGCCACTGTTCAGGTAAGCAACGACAACAACAAAACACGTGCATGTAAGGGCTGCAAAATAAAACTCCTGTGACTTCCATGATTCTATCTAGGAGTTCAACTCCTTTGGATTTGTATTTAAGACTGGCACTGTACAATTTAAAGATAAACTGCAATTTCTGTGATCTCAGCTACTCAGGAGAATTGCAAGTTCAAATCCAGCCTTGATAACCTGTCTCAAAATGAAAAATGAAAAGGGCTGGGGATATGGCTCAGTGGTAGAGCACCCTGGGTTCAATCCCCAGAACCATAAAATTATTTTATAAATAATATTTGATTTATAAATTGAGTTGTTTTATAACTCAGTTAAAAAATAAAGATGAATAGATTAAAACTCAGTTTAAAATTTTCCATTTTCTTTACTTAGAATGACATTAATTATAAAATTTAAAAACCTACCATTATAAGTTGTGAGAAAAACCACCAGAGAAAAGGAAGAAGCTTTACATTTCAGGACCATTACCGGCACATTTCCCTTCGTTTTTGAACAAGGATGCCAGCCATTTTATTTTGCACCAGGCGTTGTGGATTATTAGGTAGGCAGCCAGGTTTCTGGCAGAAGACCTATAGAAATGAATACTGTATGTTAAGAAAAAAATCTGTGATCATAGATCTCACCATTAACTCAAAAAACTACTCTGTTAGCAGTGCTGGGCTGCTCTGCATTGTGTTTGGGTGCCAGCTGGGCTGTTGAGTGGTGCTGTATTGCTCCATGGGCAAAGGGTGTTGTGGAGGAAGCCAGTGTAGCCTGACTTGCTACATGATCTTGACAAGTCACTCACCCCCAGACCTCTATTTTCTCAATCTGCAAAAGAGAGATAGCACCTGTCTTGCTGCTCCTCAGAGGTTCCCTTAAAAACAATGCATAAAAAAGTGTTTCAAAAAGTTTAAGATATTGTACTTGTTTCAAGTACTTTATAATTTTTATTACCACTAAAATACTATAAAGAATCATAAATTGTTATCTTTGTTCCTTTTGGTTTGCAAATTAATTTTGAAAGAATTCCTGCCAAATTCTCATAAGCTGAAATTCATTTTTTTCCTCCTTTAAACAAAACAAATTCAGTGATAACTGTTTGGAAGGCAATATGGAAACTCAATAGACTCACAACCCCCCTTCCATCCCCACCGCTGGCAGTAATGCAATATACATCCATGTTTTTAAGAATTGAAGTGGTTTGGCCAAAATAAGGAAGTTTTACTTCTATAATAGGGGGAAAAAGCAGAATATAAAAATTGTTTATATAGTATTCTATGATTATACAGTTGTCAAGCTTGTGTATAGAAAAATGACCAGGAAATAAACCAAAAGCCTAACAATTAGAAAAATAAATAACTTTGTATAAGAATGAATGAGCCCTAATCACACAGACCCTATCATAACATGGTCCTACTGTTTTTATCACACCGTTTGGGTAACTTCTGGATGAAAATATGTCTCTCTGAGTGTAACAGCTGTTTATAGGCAAAAGTGTGATTTCACAGGCAAAATCTGATTAACCTGATGAAGCTACAGGAAATGTGTTCATCTTATTCTTTCAGTGGAGGTTCTCTATTATATGATAAGAACTTTATGATAAATAGCAGGCTGGTGTAATAGAATAATGATTGTATTGGGAGGGAAAATGTTTTTTTTTTTCCCCCTGTGCCATTGGGAAAGTATCTTCTCTTAGCTTGGGCCTCAGTTTCCCCATCTGTTCCTGGAATGCTGTAGAAAGGGCTTCCCAAGACCAACATTCTGTGTTTTGATGGGTTTGTGTGACTTTCTAACCCTTAATGCCAATGTGACTCTCAGGCCCACCTGAAGTAAGGCAATAAACTCACGTGGGGCTTCCTGGTTTCCTGTTTCTAGGTGGCTAAATTGACCCAGGCTCTCAAACATCTTATGTCCTCTTTCTTGAATGGGACCATTCTCCCAGGGTGGGAGGTTTTTCTCCCATTGCTCAGAGGGATTTGCTCTGCTTGGTCTGGCCATGTCCCCAGAACACCAGCACTGGCACACTTTTAAGTGTTTGCTGGATGTCCACTTAGGGTTTCATTCTTATTTATTTCTCCTTCTAGACTTGCAAGCTCTTTAAAGACAGAGACCCTATCAGATTCATCTCTCTTTCCACAGTCCTAGCCTCACCCCCGACCCAGGTCCAGCACCTTGTAGGAGCTCAGTCGATGGACATCCAGATATTTTGAGCCGACACAAATGATGCCAACACCCATTTTTGCTGCAGTAGATGTTCTTGCTCATGAAAGTTCCCAGGCCACTTAGATTGGTCCTAGTATCTGCCTCCAGTCCACCAGTGAGAGGAATGGAGAGGCAGCTTGTGAATTTTAGGAAAGATGGGGACAACAGCTAGAAAATGTCATGTCCCAGAAAATCCTTCCTGTCTTGACTGGAGACCACACTAATCAGGACCTGTGGCTTTCCTTATTTTGCAATGGTGTTTAAAATGGCATTTGGATTAGATCCCAATCCTATGACCCAGAAATGAAAATATTCTATAAACCCATTAATAACACCTACATTCATAATAGGCTTACATAAGAAACAACCTAAGTATCTCTCTCAGCAGAAAAGGTAAACCAGTTTGTTAGATCCTCACTAGGGAATCCTACTCAGCAAAGAAAACAAAGCAAAGTTTAAGGATGAATCTCAAAAGGTAGAGAAGGAAGACACCCAGAATACTGTTGTATAATCTACTTAAACGTAGTTCTCCAGCAGACAAATGAACTGAGGGTGCTGGAAATCAGAATAGTGATTGGCAGACCATGGGGAGACATGTTCCCTCCCAGTATAATCATTATTCCATGATACCAGCCTGCCATTTATTATAAAGTTCTTATTATATAATAGAGACCCAAGGCATGGTGCTCCACTGGAAGGATAAGATTAGCACATTTCTTGTAGTCTCAGGAGGTTAATCAGGGGGCACAGGGGAAACTTTGCGGGTGATGGAAATGTTCTGTGTCCTAACTAACCAGTAGATACCCAGGTTTCATTTACCATACTCAGTGAAGAGGACTCTGTACATTTTGTCACTTTTTAAATTAAGCCTCGATTAAAAAAAAAAAAAAAGCCACACTATTGGAGTGAAGTTTCATCTGTCTTGTGCAGACTGGCTCTGGGGTCAGAGACCAGGAGGGGAGGCTGTGTCTGGCTGGTGCAGCTGGACCACAGTCCTCACATCCACGAGGGCGGCCCCTGCACGTGGCCCATTTTTCAACTAGGCACTTTGCCGGCACTTGGTGAACGCCTGTTTCTCCCAGGGCTCTCTCCTGGGACCCTCAGAGAACTTATCTGTTTTCCCCTGGCACTTCTTCAGCTCTCAACTTTTCTCTGTTTTTTTCTTCTCCAGGCTAATCCCCCCTGTGGTCCACCATGATTCATTGGGTGCAGTTTCCAAACCCTTCTTCCTCACAATTTCCTTCCCCCAGGATAAGCTCCAGCTGTCCAGGGCCCATTTAAAGATAACTCTGAACACTTCTGCTGACTTCTACCTCCAAAGTGATTTTAGCAGGAGGAGGGAACTGCGAGTCTTAGCCTGAACAACCTTCAGGTTAAACGTTTGTTTAAAATGGAGCAGAGAAAAATGAAAATATGTTGGGAATCCCACACAGGCCCCTGCGAGTTGATTGACACACATTTAAGCAGACACGGTCTTTGTGCAATGCCAGGGGGCTGATACATTAATAGATATAATTTGTAGGCTCCCAAGGAGAGGTTAAAGAGGAGAGCACAGATTCCTTTGAGCTGACTTGGTGCTCCCGTGTCATCTGTCCCCAGACTTAATCAAGTTATCATATCAACCCAGTGTCACTTGGACCCCAGCTCTCTGTCTGAATGAGGGAAAAATTTGCAGACAAATTTCTAGCAGCAGGAAGTTGGTGCTCTCCTGCAAGGCTGGATGAAAAGCACCTGTAACCTCTCAAGGCCTCTCTCCTGCTCCTGCTGGGAGAGCAGTTCAAGTGGTTCCCTTATTTGATTACGCCTCTCAGGCCCTCTCTGGTGTAGGTATCCAATTCACCGCCATGCCCACTGGCTCCCCATGAAGCAGCAAACATTAGAGTCACTCTTTTGTGAAATTATGGGGAAGCTGAGTGGGCCAAGCGCTAGTGTGTGTGTGTGTGTGTGTGTGTGTGTGTGTGTAGAGACACACATGTGTATAGAGAGGAATGCTGTTAGAAAATTTGGCATTGATTTATGTTTACTTGATCTAGCACAGAATGACTGAGTGGCATCTCCAAATTCTCACAGTAATGATAATAAACAGTAGGGAGGGGGAAGAAAAGACTATTGCATTAAGTGCTCTCTATTATTATTTTTAAGAAGTTTGCAAAAACTTTTTAACAAGTATAACTTATAATCAATGGATCTAATTCTATTATAGATTTCTTTTCCCCATGACCATCTAATTCAAGTTATAGTACTATGTATTATTTTCTAATGAGCATATAAATTATGATCGTCTTTGTAACTTTTCACACCAGAGTTATTTATTGCTGGACCGATGTTGACGCCTTGCTAGAGTTGTGCATATCTTCACTTGTCAAGCAGATAGAAGTGCCGTGGTATGTGCTGTGGACGCGTGCCCTCTCCAGATTGCCTCTTAATGGTTTTCTTCAAAAAATTAAAAGAACATTTATGTTCCTATGTAATAACAAAAAAAAAAAAAGGAAAAAGGAAAGGAAAGAAAGGAAGGGGGGAGAGAAAGCAAAAGGGAATAAAAACTCTGCAAGACAACGTTTTGTGTTCCTTTCAGGAAATGTCAACGCCATGGAGGAAAGGAAAGGCAACATCTTTCCATCCGCAGGTGCTGGAGACGCGTCTGTAACCTGGGAATCCAGAACCGAATCCGAGAGGCGTTTTCCCATCAGCCTGGCACTGCGGCTCCGGTGGAGCTGGCAGCGCTGCACACTCAGAATGAGACTGGACTTGCCCCGGGGGACTCGGGGACCGTGCTGGGCTGGTAAGACGTGGAGTTATCATTCATCTATTCATTCCCAGTGGGTTAAAAAGGGAAATAGACCCTGCTGGACTCAAGATGCTTATCGATTCATCCCTTTAGCAGGCAAGCAGGAAGACGCGTAAGCCCCTCGGGTTTGGGGCTTCGGCTTGTGGAGAAGTCCTGCCCTGTTCCCACTGGGGCTCGGGAGCCAGAGGAGCTGGGAAGGGCGGCTGGACCCCGGGCGGGAAGCCCGGCGGCTTTTACTTTACGCCATAAAGGCCTTCACAATGTCTGCTGGAATTTCAACAGTTAAAGAGACCCCGCGGCACAAAGAGGCGCTGCGACAGTAATCGGGAAATAAATTTGATTTTCTGAATTCTTTGGCAGCTGGTGACAAAGGGCCAGGTATGGCGCCGCGGCAGGGATGATCCCTGCAGAAGGCGGCCGCGCGGCGGGGGCGTGCGGCCCCCCGAGGCACAAAGGCGACCGCGCTGGGAGCGCGCCACAAAGGAGCTGGGGCTCTGCGATGGCCGGGGGCGACGCAGGGCGGGAGTCGCCCGCCCCCAGCTAAGCGGGCTGTCCTGCTCCGCCAGGCTCCCGCGCGGCCGCCAAGGCCAGAGGCGGAGGATCAGGGGCGCAGTGCTAGGTCTTCGACCTGGGACTTCAGGGGCCTCCACCGGGCCACGAGCAGCAGGAGACTTTTATAGCTTAAATCAATTCAAGAAATGTCAATTAACCCCTTGCCTAATTCAGCCTTTGGCTGGGGTTTTTCAAGGGTCATTGGGAAATTCCCTTCCCTGTGAGGGGCCCCAATTTCCCCCAGGCTCACCAAACCGAGGAGGCCCCCTTCCTTTATTTATAGGATTATATTTTGGCTTTTCTGATGTCTTTCCTATTTGTGTGTCTGTAAATGGCTTTCAGGGCAATGGTAGATCTTGTTCCTCTTTAAGAGACAAACCAGAAGTGCTAGGGAGAAACCCTAGGAAATGGTGCTGCTAGGCCTCTCAGGCAGGAATAAGGACTTCATTCATTCATGCACGCATGCATGCAAACACTAAGCATCCCCTTTCCCTCCAGCCCTTCACTGATCTTTGACTATTCTGATCTCCTCCAGTTACTTCACGCTTCTATGTCTGCTGCGTCCCAGCGCCTCTCCAGCGCTATTGGAATAGAACCTCCAGCTCCCCCACCAGCCTGGAAGCCCCAGGGAGGGAGCAGCATTCACTTTTTCAGCCACACGCCCCAGTCTCCTCACTTATGGAGATGCATGCCCGTGTTGAATTTTCTCAGCACCCCTCTTCGATGTTCCAGCAGCCACCACTCCAGAAGCACATCAAACTTGGGTTCCCTTCCTTTCCTGTTCAAAGTGAGGCAGTCCACAATTATTTGTAGGGGATGTCAAGAGTCCAGAAAAGCTGACTTGGATAGAACAAGATGTGTTAGCGTGCAGCTTGCTAATGCTTGTACCTTCTGTGGTGGAAGCAAATATGTAAGTAAAAAGAAGATGAGCATTATTTTCTTGTGTGTGTGTGGGGGGGGCGGGGGTGGTGGTACTTGGCATTGAATCCGGGGGCATTCTTCCATTGAGCTATATCTCCAGCCCTTACTTTTTACTTTGAGACTAAATTGCCAGGCTGGCCTCGAACTTGCAATCTTCCTGCTTCAGTCTCCTGAGTCATTGGGATTACAGGCAGGTGCCATCAGGCCCAGCTAGAAACCCAGTATCCTTATCTGCTATTAATCTCCTGGTTATGACAGGACTTTTTTTTTTTTTTTTTAGTGGAGAAATGGAAGTCTCTTGCTGGACTAATTCTTCCTCAGACTGAATTCATTTCAGCAAAAGTTTCTGCATGAATCTTTCTCTCAGAATCAACAATATTAAATAATCATACCAAAACCTTTTGCTTAATTTCCTCAGAATATCTCAAAGAAACACTGTTTCCTGTTGGAGGCATTTCATTTCAGGTTGATGTCTCATTAATTTCAGAGTAATACAAGACCTGTGTGTAAATGCAGCGTTTGCAGTCAGCAGCACAGAGCCCGAAAATGAGGTCTAATTAAATGAGAATCTCCACACAGAACAAGTACCCTAGGAGTTCTAGAAAGATGCATGATTCTCAGTTTGGCACAGTGACAGTAGCAGTGTCAGTTTCTGTCTATGTCATATTTCTGTGTGTTATACTGGTAGCATGAGGATGTCATTGTCATGCTCATAGGATGTCAGGTATGGAAGCTTCTAGCTGTTACATTGTCTTAATTAGCTATTGCTGCATAACAATGACCACAAACTTAGTGGCTTAAAATAACACACATTTATTCTCTCACAGTTTTGTAGGGTAGGAGTTTCATGTACAATTTAACTGGATCCCCCGTTTCCTGGCCTCTTACCTCTGGGGGAAATTAATGTAGCTTTAATCAGGTATGGGCCAAGGTGGGGCTCATCTGAAACTTGAATGGGGAAGATCCACTTCCAAGCTCATGTGGTTGTTGACAGGATTTCATTCTTCCTCAGCCAGAGGCCACTGTCATTTCCTTCTCATGTGGGCCTCTCTAATGGCAGCTGACTCTAGCAAAGCCAGCAAGGGGCCAGTCAACAGAGAGAGTTTGCCAGTAAGATTGGTGTCACAACTCTATGTAATATGATCATGCGGGTGACATCCCACTGCATTTGCCATATTCTGTGGGTTAGAAACAAGTCACAGAACTTGTCCATACTTGAAGGGAGGGGATCCCACAAGGGCTTCGATACCAAGAGGTATGGACCTGGGGGCTTCCTCAGACTCTGTCCACCACATTCATTATACCCACAATTAAACTGATACCCTATAATATGGGTGTGCCCTGGTCACAACCTTAAGGTGTTAGTTTGGTGCCTAGACTCAAATCCAGGACTTTTATTTTGTCTTGTGCTTTTTCCTCTATAGAATACTGATAGCCTTCCATCATTATAACAAATACCCGAGAAAATAAGCTTACAAAAAAGAAAAGCTGAAAAAGAAAAGAAAAGAAAAGAAAAGAAAAACTGCTAGTAAATCACGGTTTTGCAGTTTTCAGTCCATGGTCAATTTGCCCTGTTACTTTTGGACCTGTGCAGCACCTCATGGTGGAGGAGTGTAGCAGAGCAAATCCATTCATCTCAGGGCCAGGGAGCAAAAGAGAAAAGGAGGAAGGGACTGGGGTCTCATAGTCCTTCCAAGGGCATGCCCTCGTTGACTTCAAGGCCCTCCAGCAGACCCCATGTCCCAGTAGCTCCATGCTGGGGACCAAGGCTTTACCACACGGGCTTTTGGAGGACACTCAAGATCCAACTATAGACTATACCTCCATTATACAAACTTAAAACATAAGAAACCTCTGGCTTTGAAAGCAGGAAGTAGTGTTCACATAACAGTCTAGGTGAACTGTCTAGGTGAACTGCCACCCCCAACCCCAAATCTGTGTGGTCCTGACTACAAGGAAACACAGCTCCCCTGCCCCCACAATCATCCCTAAACCAAAATGGGAGGAAGTTTAGGAATCAGTGAAGTCAGGACATTTTAAGAATCTCAGGGTTTGCTTAATCCCTGACCCTACCCACCCACCCTAATCCCCTTTCCCTGAGTTCTAAAAAGGAGAAGTGATTCATTCAAGCTCATAATGACACAGCCTGCTTCTCTTTCTTTTTAACACACTTGTAGCTATTTCAGAGAGTATATTAAGGAGTGGATGACCAATGGAACAGCTGGACTTAGGACTCACTCCTGTCCCTTCTCTCCATAGCAAACTGTAGCTCTGGGTCCACAGACCCATCCAGGCTGTGATTCCAAAAGGAAAACAACACAGCATGTTGCCTCTTAAGAGAAACTTGTCAGATCGTAAATTCTGGGTATGCAAAAGCTCGTGTGATCACTTGGGATCAACTTGGGATCACAGATATAGTATTGTGTAATACCACCTTGACTTCATCTCAGTAATTCAATAAGGCAAATGTTCCTACCTCACTTTAACGTACGTGTGTGTGTGTGTGTGTGTGTGTGTGTGTGTGTGTGTGTAGGGTGTTTCTGGATCCAAACCTTTGTCTAACTCAGTCACACCGCCTCTCTGCCTGTGTGTACTGGAGATAAATTTTCTGGCTTCAGATCCCTGCATTTGGCTAGTCTCCCAGCAGTTATGATCAATAGTTCCTCCTGCATTTATGCTCTTATAAAAGAGACCTCTGGCTGCATTCATGTTCCGCCATCCTCTGAGAATAACTGATAGAACAAATGAAAGGTTATAATGAGCCCTGTGCCTGTCCACGTTAGCTTAGAGGCCCTCAATTACCTCTCCCCTGGCTTTGAGGAGTGAAATCACTCCACTTGTCCGGGTAGTTCAGAGAATATGATGAGATTGCCTCTTGTATGGGCTAGCATGGATTTCTGATCCTGCGCTGCCTTTGAGTTTTATTTCTGGGACCCACGTGAACTTTCTGAAGACACTCTTCCCCTTCCCTCCCCTTCCCTCTCCTCCCCTTCCTCCTTGCTCTTGCTCTCTCTCTTTTTCTATCTTTCTCTTTCTCTCACTCTCTTTTTAGTACTAGAGACTCAACCGAGGGGTGCCTTACCACTAAGCTATACCCCCCAAACATTTTATTTTTGAGATAGAATCTTGCTAAGTTGCTGAGGTTGGCCTCCAACCTGTGATCCTCCTGCCTCAGCCTCCTGGGTCACTGGTATTATAGGTGTGTGCTACCACCCCTGGCTTGAAGGCACTTGTTTTTTAACAATCAGAAATATAGTTCAGAAAAATAGCCATCAAATCACTGGAGAAGAAATAAGAAAAGACATTTATTTTAGCAGTAAGATGATCTCTTCTGGAATTCATCACTAATTTGTGAATGTATTTCTATTTTTAAAGTCCAGATCAGCAGTAGAAGAACGTGGATTGATTCACACTGAATTTTGGGCTCGCTGACCTCGACATTCGCTGAATGTGGACTCTCAGGACTGTCCCTTTGCACCTGTTGCTCCTTGTCCTTGGAGTAGCTTCCAGCTCCTCTTTCTGACACACTTCTTCCTGCTGCCTGTTAGGGTCCAGCTGGACTGTCCCCCGCTCTGTGAAGCTGGCTGCAGTTCCTGCTTCCCACCCTTTCCTCACCATGCACACAGGCAGTCCCTCTCTGGACTCCCGCTGCCCCTCCTTGCAGCCTTATCTGCGGTCACTGTGTTTTCCTAGGAGGCTAACAGATGTGAGAGTGAGGATTTTGTCTCACTCATCTTCATAGGCTTTTCAGGACTCAGCTTATATTGGCTCACATCCATGGGTGGGTGGATTGTAAATCTTTTGAAGGAACATCTCTTTGATTGGCTGGTTTGACTTCTTTTTAACAAATAGCTTACTAGCTTTCCTCCTAGCCATTCCTGGCTAGATGCAGCCAGATATCTAACAGCATTGAAATGATATGGAGCTGCCAGGTACAAATACGTGCTTAAAATAAAATTAAGACCAGGCTTGGTGGCACATGCCTGTAATCCCAGCGGCTTGGGAGGCTGAGGCAAGAGAATTGTGAGTTCAAAGCCAGCCTCAGCAATGGCGAGGCCCTAAGCAACTCAGTGAGACCCTGTCCCTAAATAAAATACAAAATAGAGCTGGGGATGTGGCTCAGTGGTTGAGTACCCCTGAGTTCAATCCCTGGTACCCTGCCCCCGCCAAAAAAAAAAAAAAAGAAAGAAAGAAAATTAAAACTTCTAGGTAGAAATGAGGTGCATATGAATCAGTGCACTCTGGAAATCAAAGATCATACTGCTAACATCCCCTGTTCCTCATCGTAGCTGACGCTGAGCACTAACAGAGGGTTCAGACAGCATGCTGAGGGCTTGGTATAAAATTATCACAAAGTCTCTCTCAGGTGCTGTTATGTGCATCTTGCAAATAAGAAAGTCAAGATGCAGAGTTGGGCTGTTACCCCAGGTCACCTGGCTAGTGGCAGAGGCAGGTGCTAGAGCCTGAGGTATCTCACCCAGAACCCAGCTCATGACCTCTAAAAGAAACAAAAACTGTGTCCCGGGCATACATTGGCTGTAATGCAATTCAGCATTGTATACTGCCATTGTGCTGTGATACACAGAAGAAAGAGATTGGGCCTCTGTCCCTGAAGGTTTTTTTTTTTTTTTTTTTTTTTTGTACTGGGGATTGAACGTGGGGGCACTTAACTACTGAGCTGCATCCTCTCCTTTTTTTTTTTTTTTTTGTATTTTATTTAGAGACAGGGTCTCACTGAGTTGCTTAGAGCCTTGCTCAGGCTGGCTTTGAACTCATGATCCTCCTGCTGCAGGAGAATCCCAAGCTGCTGGGCGTGGGCCACCGTGCCTGCCTGGTATCCCTGAGGTTCTTGAATGAGGGGCAGGGATGGGAGCTTAGACAGGCACACAAGTTGTTGGAATGCAGGAGGAAATTAAAGTGTCATAAAGAAGACAGTGTGCCATGGGGGTCCTAGAGAAAGCAGGAAGCCATACAGAGGGTCAGGGAAGG